AAAATATTATAATGAAATTCATAAAGTTTATAGAGCAGGCAAAGAGGATAAACAGAAATACATTTTTATAATTTATCTAAAGAAAAAACACAATTATTTTGCAATCGAAACAAATTTAGAACGCTTTAATTTTAATTAGTTTTAAAAACTTCTGGAACAATCTTTAGAGTGCCAGGACATTTTGAACAAGCTATAAAAAACCATAGCAAAATATGTATACATACATATGTGGATATGCAAACATATATGTATGTATACATATTTTGTATGTTAACTATATTGATATAATTAAATATCTATGTATCGAACATAATGCTTAATTAGTTAGTTAATTATTTAAACCAGTGACAAACGAAAAATAATGCAAAATTCATTTTATTTATTTTATTTGTTTATTTTGAAATCGCCAACCGTCTCTACTCTCTACTCTCCCATGTCGCCATGGCTGTCCCCATCGTCGAAATGCCAAAATGCCAAAATGCCAAAATGCCAAAATGCAAGCAGTGCACTCGCTGCGCAGATGTATGCCGCTCAACTGTCGACGCAACAACAGAACATGTATGTGTGTGTATGCGAGTGTGTGTGTGTGTGCGAATGTGTGCCTGACTATGTGTGAAAGAAACTTAACTAAAGTGCAAGAGCTCATATTTGTTTTGTACATTTCTTTTATGTTTTCGTTTTCTTCTTCTTATCTTTATTATTCTAAGTATGCGCTTCTCCCACTCCAACACCAAGTTCTATGATTGGCCAGGGCATTGCCAATGAGCAATATTTTTTAGCAGCTTTCAACAACAACAGCTACAACAAATTTCGTATGTTTTTTGCGTGGCCTGCAGCCAAAAAAAAAAAAAAAAAAAAGAAAAAAAAAAGAAAAGAATAATGAAAAAAATATGCTACTTGACAATGTCCTGGCACTTTAGTTACGTTTCTTTTACTTTTCGCGCATACGTTTGTACGGCATTTACTAAGTTACTCTATCCCTCCTATATATATGTATATGTATATGTATATGTACGCACATAGGTTCGAGAAACTCGACATCACACCAAAGAGTGCTCAGAAAATCAAGCCCGTCTTGGAGCGCTGGATGAAGGAGGCCGAAGAGAGGTGAGAGTATGGAGGCAGTTCCACACAACGTCCACCCAAACACATAGCAAACTCAACTAAACGAACGTATCTCTGTCTCATTTCTGTAGCCACTGGAATCGCTACAAATCGGGACAAAACCATCTGACCGACTACATTGGCGTGGAGCCGTCGAAGAAGCGCAAGCGTCGCACCTCCTTCACGCCGCAGGCCCTGGAGCTGTTGAATGCGCACTTTGAGCGCAATACGCATCCATCGGGTGAGTGGTAACTTTCAGTGGATCAAGTTCATTTCGAGTTGGGCAATGTATGACATCTGTATCTCTGCTTCCTCTCCTTTCAGGCACCGAAATAACAGGACTCGCCCATCAGCTGGGCTACGAGCGCGAAGTGATTCGCATTTGGTTCTGCAACAAGCGGCAGGCCCTGAAGAACACCGTTCGCATGATGTCCAAGGGCATGGTCTAGGGGGGCGTGCTGCCTCCCATATGCTGTATATAGTTTGGTTACGTGTGTGTAAATGTGTGAGTGCATGTACGTGTGTGTGTGTGTGTGTGTGTGTGTGCGTGTATTTTGTGATAGTTTTAAACACTTAGCGCTTAGACTCTAGGCCATGTAAAGTAAAAGCTGTGTCATAGCATTTACCACTAATGTCTGCATATGCCACTCCCCCTCCCCGGAAAATCGAATACCAGAAAAAAATCATCTACAATTTATGACTAACATTAATCATATCCCAAATAGTCTAGAATCTATGGTCAAACACTTTTAGGGCCCATTTTCTTATATTGATGTGCCATTCCAAAAAGAAAAAAAGAAGAAAAATAAAAAATAAATAAATAAAAAATTACAAAAAAAAAATATTGAATACATATGAAAACATGGAATAATATATAAATATATGTATTACGAATTCAAAACTAGAGATTTACATTTAACAATTTGTATGGCTAAGCGTAAAACCAAAATGACAAAAAATGAAAACAAAAAAATAAAACAAATAAATGACACAAGTAAATTAAATTCTTTATAAATTGTAAGCTTTGATTTAACAAAAACAAAATAATTGCATTTAATGCGTTGGCTATATATATATTAATATAACGTATATACTAAAGTGTATTTTATTTAAACAATTTATAAATAAATTATAAACTCTAGCAATTAACGATTCTCATTTGGCCATCATGAAATCCACTATCCGTAAATCAAGTAACAACTGAATCCCACTCAAATGTATGGCAGCGCACTAACGAAATTTAGCAAATTTATGTAGCAATTTAAAAAGACAACAACAACAACAAGAGAAAACACAAAATAAAACTAAAAAAAAAAAAAAAAAAAAAATTACAAACAATTCAAGAAGCAAAATACTTCAACTGCGAAATTCAAATGGTACACAAGAAAGTCATTAAAGAAAAAAAAAAAAAAAACTGGAGGAAAAAAAGACAACAACAAAAAATATTTAAATAATTGTAATAAAAAACAAACATAATTAAAAATATGAAATCATGCGTGTTTTATTTATATTATTTTAACTGGTATTTCCATGAATTTAAAAAGAGAGAGACAGAGAAAGAAATCAAATATATATATATGAGATCTACCTCCTCTCTCACTCAGCAGAATGATTAAGCAATAGAGTGCGATCTGGTAGGTGAGAAGAAACGGAACGAAATGGAACGGAACGGCAGTAGTGGAACCAAATATATAGCTCTCGATATGATGCTCTAATAAATAATTTCTGATGCTATAGAGCTCAACCTCCACTATGCCCGGACAACCCCTCTACGCAGAGCATATTCCACTCAATCTTCATTTCAATATTAATGATACACAATGTTTGTATATTTATTGGAATTCATTAAAAATACAAATATAAAAACTAACTTATTAATACTAATTACATTGTTCTTAATTGCTCTTAGTGTAGACTGGCAATATCACATGCACGTAGATTAGCAAAGCAAGCGCGGCAGAGTCAAAGATCAATCAGTCGCTCAACATGTTCTCCAAGTTCTTTTGCTTCTGCCACACACGATACTCAATTAGGCCGTAACTGGAAATTCATTTTTGAATATTTGAAATATAAAAACAAGTAAGAACGTTGCAGTCGGGCGTTACCGACTGCGGAATACTCATTCACATHCCATCAACAATTTARTAGTTAAGTTTCVTTCTAATACTGTAGAATATACAGGTTTTTCCGATTTGCCACGCCCCAACTGGGCGTAGACACCTCATTTTTGGTCAGTTTTTAGAAAGAGATAACGTTACCCTAACTGCAAAGTTTGAATGCTTACCCTAAAAAAATGTGAAAATTACAGGGTATTTTTCGATATGCCACGCCCCTAAAGAGGCGTAAAAATTATTTTTGGGGAATCGATAGAGGAGGCTACCAGTAACTCAACTATCCAAATTTGAAGCTTCTAGCTATTATACTTTAGGAGATATAAACTTTTGCGGTTTGCCACGCCCCCTGTGGGCGGACATATATCCGACAAAACTTTTTGGTCTTGGGTGATCAGTCCGAGTATATATACAAAATTTGAGGTCTCTGCCATCAATAGTGTCCAAAATATAGGAGAATTTAAAAAATCACTATATCTTCAGGTCCGATTTGCCACGCCCCCAACGGGCGTAGACTTATAATTTATCTTCAGACTTTATAGAATCATACCATTAGCTGACGTGCAAAATTTCAGCATTCTAGGTTTACAACTTTAGGAGATACAGTTTTATCCGATTTGCCACGCCCCCAATGGGCGTAGATATATCCGCCATAGCTCGTGATCTTGGGTGGTCAACGCGGACCTACATACCAAGTTTCAGCTTTCTAGCTCTTCAACAAACATGATTTCTGGTATATCGGAAAATGCATTTTCCGATTTGCCACGCCCCTAGTGGGCGGATCGGGAAAATTTTAACACTTTATAAATCGGAGATATACACGAGTATGTGTTCCAAATTTCAAGTCTCTAGCTTCAATAGCGCCGAAATAGATTGCGTTCATACGGACAGACGGACAGACGGACNTATTTAATATTATATTTTAAGTATATGAATGCAGGTAGCTAAAGGAGGTATATGAACCAATAATATTGAGGTATAAATTAAAAAGTAAACAATTTGAGATACATATCTAGATTATTTAAAAATTAATTATATACAAATAAAGCTCACCCCACGCATCCAACGACCATGACACAAATCAGAATGATCAGCTTGGTGGATGTGCACAGCTGGGAGCTGATGACGTAGCCAATAACCGAACCCGTGCTCTCCCATAAACGAAAGTTGCTATACGCGGCAATCAGATGGTTGGGAAACAGAATGCCATAAAAAGCTGCAATATAGCGAGTAAGTACTGAGCAACAGCTGAGCTTAAAGCTTGGTGCTTACCGTTGACAACAACCAGCCAGACGCCATCACAGATGCCCCAAATGGCCGCAAAGGTGCAGTACATGAGGTAGTCGCCCTCGCGCGCCTCCCAGCTGTACATGTAGCCGAGCAGGCAGAGATTAAGCACAGCACAGATGGCCGCCAGGGTGACACGTCCGATGCGCTCGACCAGGGCGCCCGCAATGCCGGCGGCAATCGCATTGGCCACGCCAAAGCAGATCATCGCAAATCCGATTTTGGAAATGCCCCAGCCGCAGGCGACGAAGGACTAAGAGTGGACAGCAGGACGTTAGCTGTGCGGGCAGCTAAGCTTAAAAAGCTCACTTACGCGTGTAAAGTCGACGGCCAGAAAGGCCTCCTCCAGGCCAATGAACATGGTTATGGGCAGCATGAGTATCTGGCGGCGTTTGCGCAGCAGATTAATGGTCACAGTTAGGAGCTTCAGGCCGGAGATGCCATCCCCAGTGTCGCCGCGATTAACGCCATAGCTGAGCGAGCGAATAATGAAGTAGATAGAGACATATAAATATATGTATGTGTATGTATATGTAAATGTATATATATATATACCCACCGCTTCAGCGAGCTAACGCCAAAAATCATCATAATCACCGCGCCGGCCATGCATGCCAGGAATATGGAATTGAGCAGCTGTATCTGCTCGGGCGCCGGCGGCACTAGGTTGGGATTCACCTCCGCGCTGATGCCAGGGCAAAAGCGAGCGCCGCACAGCTCGTCCACGCGACTTATGCTCGCCTCGAGGGGCTCCAGTTCCAGCTCCAGCAGACTCTCATTGGCCGGCGTCGCGGCGCTCAGCGTCAGCACTGAGGAGGATATCAGATTGCCCCACACCTGCGCCATCTGATAGAAGATGAAGAACAGCCCGAAGAACTTCACCGTGTTGACATCCTTGCGCGACTCGCTGCCGCGCACCTTGGTCAGCGCCTCGGAGACGGTGGACAGGTACGTGCACTTGGAGCACCACAGCGGACCGCCGCCAAAGCCCACCATCAACGCGGCCGGGATGAGCGTCTCGAAGCGCGGATAGAACTGGGCGGCTATGTACGGCATATAGGCGAACAGGGCCAGGGCCATGGTCAGGCGGCAGCCGAACCAACTGTTGATTAGAGTAAGTGGGACAGGCTTAGTTTGTTTTAGCCTGGCCAGCAGGCTGACCGGCCGACTGGCCGACTGACTGCCTCAGTGACTCAGTGACTCAGTGGGCCAGCTAAGCAGCTGCTTCAAGGCCGGCCATAAATCTAAATAAATCGAGTTAACTGATTAAAGTTGCCAGTGGGCAGCATTTTCTTTTTTTTCTTTTTTTTATACCCTGAACCCATTGAAAATGGGAAATCAGGGTATAATGGTTTTGTTAAAAGTATGTAACAGGCAGAAGGAGGCGTGGCAGACCCCACAAAGTATATATATTCTTGATCAGGGCGACGAGCTGAGTTGATTTGGCCCTGTCCGTCTGTCTGTCCGTCCGTCCGTCCGTCCGTCCGTCCGTCCGTCCGTCCGTCCGTCCGTCCGTATGTATGAACGCGTCGATTTCAGAAGATATAAGAGCTAGAGACTTCAAATTTTTTTTAAAATGTCCGTAATTACAGCGCGCATATCAAGTTTATCATTAAAAATCGATAACTCATCCCGATCTTTTTTTATCGATAAAAAACCTTATCGAAAACCAGTTATAAAATTATATCTTCTACACCCTTATTGCTAGAGTCTCCAAATTTTTAATGTATGCTTATATGCAATTTATACAATTTCGGTTTTTGTTAAAATTTACCCCCCACCCTTAAATTCACCCCCTCACCCTCACTTTTGTAAAAAGCGTATTTCAAATACTAGAGACTTGTGCTTTGGCAATTACATGCATATCCATGTTATAATCATAATCTGAAAGTTTCATGAAGATCGTACGTCCATAAAAAAAGTTATTAAACAATTAAGTTCTCATAGTAAGCGCACACTGCAGCCCATGCGTGTTTATGCGTGGGTGCTTGTGTGTGTATGTGTTTGTGTATGTGTGTGT